TTCCACCATTATTTGCAAAAAAATTCTTTAAAAGTCAGACAAAATGATTTTCTCAAATTTTTTTCACATTTTCTCTCTCATAGTTGAGGTCTACCTATGATGTCAATTACAGGCCTCTCTCATCTTTTTAAGTGGGAGAACTTGCACAATTGGTGACTGACTAAATAYTTATTTTCCCCACTGTATAAAGATAACTCAGGATGAGTACGTCAGAGGTAATTAACTCCTACGTGTCTGAGGTGAATGTATAGTTTACTTCACACTGGTCTGGTCATTTTGGTTGACCTAGTTGAGCTAGGTTTGAGTTGTGCTGCTGTCGCTCTACACTTTGTTGTATAAAAAACCCCACAAAATCTCACGACTGTCTTTCAGTTTCAGCAAACAATAATTACAGATGGTTTACTTTAATTAACTTAAACAAAGGAACTCAAAACCTGTGAGCTCATTATAGAGATCTCACGTTCTTTTCTTTTGCCGAATAATAGCCGCAGGTAAACTCAGAGTTGTTGTGAGTTTACTGTTTTAATTAGTTGAAGCCGAAGAAGGTATACAGTGTTCTTTTGGAGTGGGTGGGAACACTTGTGCAACAAGGCGCATGTCTGTAGTGAACTGATCTGACCACATTCTATCATTACTCTGCTTTATACTTAGCCTTAAATCTCAGAGCAAACTGCGGCTGGGTTCGACAAACCTTCCCTTTCTAAGACCACTATCAAAAGTTCAATGTTTACACAGTGCAGAAGACTGTGAGACACATCGATCAGAAGTGAAAGAGGTCAGAGTATCACACTGCTGCACAGCAAAGTTCAACTTGTTTTTGCGTCACGCAGTCCAAATTACACACGACTCATTTTATAAATCGTGAAGTAACATGTGTTACACTTCAATTCTCTGCGTCACAGACTCATATAAAATCTAATTTTGGACAAGCTGGATAACTAAATGTGTAATCATTCTAACACGCTCACTTCTTTTCTTTCACAGGAGCTCTGGATGTGTCCAGGGCCAGCCCCTTGGCCTGCTGGTTCAGCTCCATGCTGTATTGTTTTGGTGGGGCTGTGCTGTCGGGGATCATGCTGGCCGAGCCAGCGGTAGCACCTTTGTCCAACAGCCCTACTATTCTGCTTGCTTCAATCGTTTGGTAAATAATGAAAGCTGGGGGGAAAAAAGTAAATGAAAAGAAAAAATGTTGAAAGCAGCAGTGGTGGTACAATTTGATGCAAGAGAGAAAACTGGAAGTTCCTCTCTTTTATTTTAAACCTTTGGCGCCCTCTACAGGCAGCATATAAAACTACATCCTTATCATGAAAAACTACACACTACCCTCTGCTGGCAGCAGAAAGGATTTGAAACCATTCCACATGCTGTTCTTTTCACAGGCCTAACTAATGTTTGCTTCTGCAGGTACCTCATCTTTTATTGCCCCATGGACGTGGTGTACTCCTGCGCTGCCCTGCTGCCCCTCCGGCTGCTGCTGTCAGGAATGAAGGAGGTCACCAGGACGTGGAAGGTCCTCGGAGGCGTCACGCTGGCTCAAAATAAATACAAAGACAGCCTGCTGGTTATGATCGCCATCGGGTGGGCGAGAGGTCAGCAGGTGGTTTTTGCTTGGGAAACTCTTTGTTTTGGAGTTCTTTCAAGTCATTATAAAGTATTTGATGTTTAGTTTGCGGTACTGTAAGTGTTTCATGCTGTAACTGCGTCTCGTCTTCTCTCCCCAGGTGCTGGAGGTGGTCTCATAAGTAATTTTGAGCAGCTTGTTCGAGGTGTGTGGAGGCCAGAAACAAATGAGCTCCTCAATATGTCGTAGTAAGTAATCGAATCTGGGATTTTGACGTTACGTTGGGGATTTAGGTGTTTTTTTTTTAATGTTTTAAATAATACTTGCGCTTTTTCTTTGTTGGTGCGCCTTTTTCAAACATCTTTTATAATCATCCTATCAGCAGGCTCAAATTCTGTTCAAACATTTTACTACATGATCTGATCATTTGTTCTTTGTCTGACTGTTTAGCCCCACAAAGATCACTCTGATTGGAGCGGTGCTCTTTGCTCTGCAGCAGACCCACTACCTGCCTCTGCACAAACACCACCTGATGCTGATTTACACCATTTTCATCGTCGTCAACAAGGTAAGCATCAGACACGATTTATACTTTAACATGCTGAGGAGAGTTTATAAACAAGTGATTGATGTGCTGAGCAGGAAGCTGTTTTCCGTTTGTTTCCATCAGTTAAAGCACCCCACGAATGAATATATGTTTTGGGCCGCAACGACTCCTTCCATGTCTTTCACATCTTGTCTTTTAAATGACCTTTCTCCCTGTTTTTTTTTTTTTTAAGTTTTCGCCGCGGTGACTCACATTAAGCTGGGTATTACCCACAGGGCTGGAGCTTTTGCATCATTTTCATCAGCTTGCATCATCCGCTTTTCTCTTCTCTGGGAAACTTGTGCTCTTGACTGAGACACAGATAAATCTATCGCGTCTTCCTTCTTTCAACTTTTGCTCCGTTAGCTCCGTCTGACTGATCTGTCAAATTACCAGCAAACCATTTCGTCAGATTCAGGAGCCGAGTTCGAGCTGTTTGTTATTTTGTCTTCCTGATGATGCGGATGATATTCAGTCATAAAATAAAAAAAGTAAATGCTAGTTGGTATCCATTTTCTGAGCATTTTTATGCAGATTAAGCCATCATCTCGTGGTTTGTTGAATAAACATGTTCTCCAATTAGCCGCTACATTATGACCCTCATCACCCTCCTAATACTACCACACTGTGTACATATTATACCATTTTTTCACAAGTCAGCACGTTTTGTAAACTCTTAATAAATGTATTTGACACAGTTTGATCAAAGTATAACATAAAAACAGAATCTAAGACCTAACTTTAATTACAGTAACGCAATCCATATGTTCCCTTATATGATTGTTTTTTAACTGAAACACAACCTTGTAATAATCTTTTATCTTTTCAGTGAATATTAGAAAAGTGATATAAAACTGTACTTTTATAAGTGAACAACCAGCAAACAGAAAGCTAAATTAGCATCTCATTGACACTTTTGTAACTTTAGACATTTGAAGAGTGTAAATCCAGTATTAAGTCTACCTTTATTAACTCTTTGTTTCTCTTCTTTAACAAAAAGTGTCTTCAATGAAGTCTCATATCTTAAAATCACCTTTTTGCTGTACTATACAGTTCATTTGCCAAAACAAGTGGCTGCTTTTACTAAATCATTACTTATGAGAGCAGAAAAAGTAAATAAGTAAGTAAACTTTATTTATATAGCACCTTTCACAGGTCAGAAACCACAAAATGCTTTACAAGAAGACATAAAAACACAAGAGATAAAACTAGATAGATAAAACAAAACATACGTGCAATAAAAATATTACATGATGGAAAAAAGAAAAAAATATCAATTAAAAAAATTTATTAAAAGCCAATCTGAACAAATGTGTCTTCAGCTGCTTTTTGAAATTTTCAAGTAGTAAAGTGTCAAAGTTGAAAAAATAAAATAACATTTCTTGACGTGTAAATTGTTTTTGTACAAAATAACCAAGTCTTTTTTTTTTAAAATGACAGTGTGGATCAAAGAAAACAAACAACACAATTTTAAGGAAAGAACTAGAACATTTTCACATTGAAACACGACTAAACAAAAACATTTACTGCATAAAAATTAACTTAATCAGCAGTAAAAACACTCAACAATTCAGAAAATAAAACAAAAATGAATACAAATGAACCAAAACTGGAAAAAAAAAATCCAAGGAAGGTTAAAATTTACAACAATAGCCAAATCAAACCTGCGGTAACACACATCTTTAAAACATTTTTAGGTAACACGATTTTTGACAAATGTTGAGAATTTTATTTGTTTTGTGGTTGTTCCCAGTTTTGTTGATGTGTGTTCTGAAATGCCACTCTGTTTTGTGAGTTGCTGTGCCTCGCGATGTTCATTCTGAAAGCCGTGTTTGGTTTTGTAGCGTTGTTGTGAAGGACCACCACTATCCTGAACCACATCTACTTTCTCTCGTCTTGCTTTCACTTTTGTCCGTTTGTGTTTTCAGACCCGGATGATGCTGACGGGCTCCTCCGCCTCACCCTTCGCCTCCATTGAATCGGTCCTGTACAAAACCCTCTTTTCCGGTCACTCCCCGTACGCCGCTCTCACGGGCGACTTCAAGACGCCGTGCAGCGGTAACAGCTCAACGGGCGGGAAAACATCCCGCCTCACTACCAAAGAATCCAGCGAGAACAGGGATCGAGGCTGCTCGCTGAAAGCCAAAGACGAGTCGGAGAACACGGAGACTGCAGACGACAAGAAGAGCAACTAGTCCTGAAGTGCCTTTTTTCCCCTCAAAGCAGGGTTGTTGAGTTCTTCATGCTTCAAATATGTTAAGTTTGGAGTTCACCTAAACTTCTTTTTTTAATGTTTTTAAACACATCTTAGTTGTAGTGACCAAAAAGGACTTTCTCTGTTTGATTCTGAAGAGGTGGATCCCACCGCTGCACTTTATTCTGGGATCATCACCCAACCAGTGAAGAATGTGAACCATCAGTTACCTGTTTGAATACACACCAGCTGTACAAAGTGTAGCTTTCTTAATTTTCTAAAGATGTTTATTTTCAGAACAAACTGTTTCTAATTATTTTTCAGGTTGTTGGGGACCAATGCTGTGCACCTACCTGCTCTTTTTCTTTCTGTGTATATTTTGCTTCATTTAAAAGCTAAATTTCTTACTTGAGTCTTTTAAAGAAAATAAATATTCTATAACATTCAGATGTTTTATCATATTTATAACAAACACCTGCACTCTTGAATGTAAAATCCCTAGATATGGAATGCAGTCCTATAAACTGAGAATAAAGAGATTTAAACAATCAGGTGTTTTTGAGGTTTTTGACTCGATGAGTAACTTTTGAGAAAAATGACTTGAAGTTTTTTTCCAAGAAACCTCATTAACACAGCTGTAAACGTCACGTGCCTCTCTGTCCTGTGTGTGTGTTCAGCGTCATGTGTCGGGGAACATTAGTGGTTCGGTAAGCTGATACGGATCCCCGCAGCGTCCAGAAGTAAAGCTCTCCAGAGGCTGAAATATTGCGTCAGTGTAACATCAGCACCTGATTGATACCGCGCCCGCTCTAAAAACCTGCGGGAGGGAAATCCCCTCAAATCCTCCCCAATTCTCGTCTGTGTAACCTCAAACGGAGAAGTCGTCCTCGGTGAATGCAAATGATTAAAGACGGAGGGTGGGTGTTGAAAAGAGACGACGATCAAAAAGCCAGACGGGTTGAGATGATACCTGCCTTTTAAAAGGTCTCAAGTCCACGGGCTGACTGCAGGCTTGTCTCTGACTGTTTGCTGCTAATTGTGTTCCTGAGTGACCTCGGAAACTAAAAAAACGGATTTTAAGCTTGTAGTTTCTTTCTAACAAGGCTACATGACAGCTGCTCATCATCCTGCATGACCCCCCACCTCAGTTACTCTCAGAGCCCCTTCCATTGTTACGGCCTCCTGATCTTTTTTCTCCTCTGTCCTTCGCTCCGTTTCACCTTCCCAGTTTGCAGCACATCTCATCTTTTTATGTTTTCACAAAGGGTTCCTGCAGATCCTTAAAAAGTCTTAAAAGTCATTGAATTCATCAATCCAAAAATAAGGCCTTAATTAGCCTTAAAATGTCTTAAATCAGTATTTCACAAGTCTTAGAAATGTTAACACATTGTAAGTAGGATGATTGTAATTTATCTCAAATGTTAAGATAATTGGTAACATTTATTTTTTATGTTCACAATCAGACATTCCCCTTTGACATCACTTCCTGTTATTTAACATGCAAATATCTCAACAACTGTCCATCTGAGCAATGTGAAATTCTTTCTGTAATATGTTAATAATGTTTTTCCAAAAATGCTTTCGCTTTTCTTAAAAAAAATGGATGTCACAGGCACTTTAAGATTTCATCTACAGCAAATTGGGGTTAAGACCCCATTGTGGGTCCTAAAACTCCAAATTTTGGGCCGTTAGAGGATTTCCAGGAATTCAATTAAGTTTAAAACTGACTGCTAAGAATGTTTCTGCTTCAGTTCATGTAAAAGGATTTCGATATGGTTAAAAACAATTGGTCTGTTAGCAATATTTGAATATTTCAACCAAAAAACTTTGATTCATAAATTACTGCCAGTTTTTTTGTCATTTGTATTTATTACGAAATTGGTCTTGTAATGGAACTAATACTTTTATGTTTAAGCAAGTAATTCATGACATCCTTTAATGACCTAGGTTTTCATGACATGCTGTTCATCTGCAGACAGAATGATTAAAGTCAGAACAAGATTTGCTAACAACAGTCATTCTTAGATATCACTTGTGTTTATCTTTGTGTTTTCCATTGACCTTGTATCAAATCTTGCTAAGATGACATGATGGCGTTTGTTAATATATACAGTATATGAGGCCTCTCGAGTGTTCAACAGTAGTGAGTAGTGTGGAGAGACAGTGACAGAGAGAAGCAGAGGCGCAGAGACAGGCCAGGTTGTTCTCTGTGTTTCCTGTTGTTGCAATAAAACTCAGCTGATCATCTCACGGAGTACCTTCCATTCTTGGACCACGTATTTCTGTCTTTGTTAAATAAATATTGCCATAACAGTCTTAAAATTAATTTCACTTGGCATTAAAAAGTCCTGAATTTAACTTGGCTTAAACCTGTCACACCTGCAGTAAGGGTGATCTGTATTATAACAGCACCAAGCAGCTTTGCTGAAATGATCACGTGCCTCAGATCCTGTTTGTGGTGTTCATAGCAGACTCTCAAAGCACAATCTTAGGATTTCATGGTTCTGTTCTTTTGTTTGTTTGTTTTCTTATTATGATCTATTAAATCCCAATAAATTAGTTCTCTGTGGAGCTGCTGCCGTCTAAGACTCACAAGGAGTTTAAGGAGTGAAGCTGCTGGGATGAGCTGTGGTTGTGGAACTGGTGCAATGTACCCCTCAAGGTCATGAGGGGAGGAGTTCAGGTCTCTGGTTTTGTTAATGTTTAGATTCATTCGTATAAAAAGTCACCCGTACTTTAACCTGTTATTATCCTGCATTGTCAGTCAGGAACAGTCACAGTTAGTAGAAAAGCTGAGTTTAGGCACTGAAGTTGGGTTTTGCTTTATTTGTAGTGACATTTGTCAGGTAAAATATAAATATTTATCCCTAAACTAGCTCTTAATAAATCATTGTCCTGGGATGACTTTCTTTTTCAAATGATCATATATTTGTTTTAACAAAAAATTTCAAACGATAGTTTTTTTCTTTGTTCATCATAGTTTATTGCTGTGAAAACAAGCTTCTCTGACACTGAACCATCTCATTGTGAGCACAAGTTCCTCCTTTTAGAATGTATCTTTATAAAATTTTAAATGTTGCTGACACTGATTAGACTAAAAAAACAACAACAACAGCTTTAAAGAGTACTTGGTCCGCACTATGTTTTTTCAGATTTCTTTTAAACATTTTTAGAACTAAGTAACCCCATTTAAGTAATAACAACAACAACAACAACAACAACAACAACAACAACAACAACAATAATAATAATAATAATAATTTTAAAAAGACTTACACACACTAAAATAAAATTTCACCCTTAAAAAAACATTTCTGAGTCTGAACTCTCCAGTTGAAAATCTGTAAACACTGTTGCTTGATGCATTCTGCAGTGTTTTCTGGTTTTCCTGCAGCTGATGCGTGCAGGACAGTTGACGGCCACTTGGTGGCGTGAGGTGGTGTCATCTCTGATGGCTTGATGCCTGGGAAGTGACAGGCTGGCCAGCAGCTGCAGGCAAGAAAAGGATGGGGACAGGAGGGGACTCTGCAGAGCCAATGGTGACTGTCAGCATGTGGGAGTGTGTGATCTGCTTTAGCTGCACTTGTGAGGATCAACCGTCAACTGTCTGGTAGCCTTGTGGGGACATGTTGGTGTGTAGGGTGACTCTGGATGGTTACACTATGCTAAAACAAATTCAGCCAACAAAATTTAGCTTCCTGTATTTGTACACAGATATATTAATTATATTTTTAGGTTTCAGCTGGGGTTTGCTTTGTGGTTCAACAGTAAAGGCCACACAGAATAAAATGTCCTCTGAAGAACACAGGCCAGTGTGTGTGTGTGTGTGTGTGTGTGTGCGTGCGTGCGTGCGTGCGTGTGTGTGCGTGCGCGCGCGCGCTGGTGGATGGGAAATGTTGAGTCTGAGTTCATCAAAAAGGCAAAAAGAGCTTCGGGCCACAGACACACGCAGCAATAATCAGAAATGAAACCAAAGCACCTTATTTGACTTATAGATGACATCTCTTCACATCTCTACTGTCAAATATCTGTTATTAAATCAGATTAAATGTGTGTGTTTTTATTTGCAGTGGTGGACAAAGTAGTCCGTTTCTTTACTTGGGTCAAAGTACTGATCCTGGTCAAATATCACTCCAATAAAAGTAAAAGTAGTTCTATCAAATTATTACTTAAGTTACAGGTAACATATTGGAGTACTTGTTTTCAAAAATACTTTTTAAGTTTTTAACAATGCATTTCCTTTTGTCGAGACTAATTGGGGAAATTTCCCTTTGAACTGGCAACAGTTGTTGTAGGGCCAACACCTGCCCACTGCATCACTGAAATCTATATCTTCTTAATTATAGCCTTTTTACAAGAACTGTCAGCTCATTTAGTCTCTACAGTCACCACTTTAAGGACAAGGCTTGGATTAGTTTTATTATTAAGTGACTAATTAAGAAGCTCCGAGTCTTTGGGGAAAGTGTTTCACACTGAGCTCCTAAGATGTTATTTGTAATATTTGGATTCGTTTGGTGAACTGAAAATAATATTTGATACAATAAACTAGAAACATTTTTGCACAAAAACAATTTAACAACGTTTATTTGAGAGAAATCATTTAGTAGAACAAAGGGACTAAAAGTCTAAAACACTCTCACTTAGGTCTTAAATGAGATGAGTCCATGATAAAATCAGGACTAATCAGGATCTAAACAAAGACATACATTAGTGCTGAAACGTGTCTAGAATACCTAGTGTACCTATGAGGTAACACTGGTGGGACAAAAATACAGCGGGTAAAATAAGTATTGAACACGTCACCATTTTTCTCAGTAAATATATTACTAGAGGTGCTAATGACATGAAATTTTCACCAGTTGTCTGTAACAACCCAAGTGATCCATACATACAAAGAAATCAAACCATAAATGTCCAGAAATGAAGTTATTTGTAATAATGTGGAATGACACAGGGAAAAAGTATTGAACACGCTTACTGAAATTTATCTAATACTTTGTACAAAAGCCTTTGTTGTCAATGACAGCTTCAAGACGCCTCCTGTATGGAGAAACTAGTGGCATGCATTGCTCAGGTGTGATTTTGGCCCATTCTTCCACAAACAGTCTTCAAATCTTGAAGGTTTCGTGGACCTCTTCTATGAACTCTGATCTTTAGTTCTTTCCATAGATTTTCTGTTGGATTCAGGTCAGGTGATTGGCTGGGCCATTCCAGCAGATCTATTTTCTTTCTCTGAAACCAACTGAGAGTTTCCTTGGCTTTGTGTTTGGGCTCATTGTCTTGCTGAAATGTCCAGCCACGTTTCATCTTCATCATCCTGGTAGATGGAAGCAGATTTTTATCAAGAATGTCTCTGTACATTTTTCCATTCATCCTTCCTTCAATTATTTGAAGTTTGCCAGTACCATATGCTGAAAAACAGCCCCACACCATGATGTTCCCACCTCCAAACTTCACTGTTGGTATGGTGTTTTGGGGCTGATGTGCAGTGCCATTTGACCTCCAAACATGATGTGTATTCTGGCATCCAAACAGTTCAATGTTGGTCTCA